CATCCTAGGTTGCTAAAAACAGAAACGGAATCTGGCTAACAAGCAGAAAAGTCTCACAGAAACAGTTCACTGTGGACCTCTGCTCAGACGGGACAGGTTCTAGGGCAGCTCTGAGGTCCAGATAGGAGGAACTCACAAATTCATCATTCATCCAGCTGAGATGAGTCAGCTGCAACTACTTTTTCATTCTTTTCCAGATTCAAAGAACTGGGAGGGAATCCAGTGAGCTTGGTCATACGCCCATCCCTTGGCTAGTGAAAGTAAGGATACCTTAATTTCCTTCCCAACAAAATGATGTATAAAATAGGAGAGGCGTTTCCGCTATCAAAAGGTGGGGAGGGAAACAGGTGTTGGTGGCCACAAATAAATCAATGTTCATTTCATTGGGAGAGAGTGTGGAGAAAAGAGGCGGTAGCTAAGGACAGTCAACCGCGTGGTGCCCACCTGTTGGAAGATCTGATGAAAAAGGATAAAGGCAAGCTAAGGAATTGGAAAGGAGAAAATAGGCAGAGGAGTTTCCAAAAGCTGGGGCACACATGAGGGTGAAATCTTGCCAAGGACTCAAAGGTGATAAAAAATGTTGAAAAACTACCAGGGTTGCCGTTGGAAGCTATTGGTAATATTTGAGAGAGAAGGAGGGCCTGAGGAAGTGAGGGAGAAAGGGAGGGGAGCCTGATGACAGGGTGAGAAGGTAGGCCGAAGAGACCCATGGAAATAGGGAGGCAGCATCTATTGTTTGGTGGTATAAGGAAGGAGAGGAGCTGGGTTGTTGTTTGAAGGGGTCAGTATTACAATGATTCTCAAAACCCGCCTGTTCCATCCTATTTGATCACATATAAGTAGAAAATAATACCCAGCCCAGCACTCAGTAATGTCTTTTCTCTGAAGCTCTTGGTGAAAACTAGTGACGACAATAGCAAAGTGCAAATTGATAATCTGCTTTAATCTGTTTCAGAAGTTACAGAAAGAGGAAATTGAATTTATTTGAAAGCCAACTTCAAAAGGAAATACTGTAAAAAGAAAAATGTCTTTTCTAAGCTAAAAATCCCAAAGCAATGCAACAGTTTCAGAAACTAATTGTATAAGTGAACTGTTATTACCAGTCTTTTTTCCCCTGGTTGAAACAATCTTCCATAGCAACATTTGCAACTAGAATATTGTGTAACAAGCACTGTTGTGGTGTAATGTCTTTTAAATAGGGGTTAGACAGGAGAGAAGTGAGTATCCATTATCTTATTATCATAACATCCGTCAGGCTTCCAGACAAAACACCATCATCTCACTGGGAGCTAAGGACAGTTTTTACTTAAACACAAGGTCATACTGTTTGGGTGCATGGGAGAGCAATGGAGATGGGGTGGGGTTTTTTTTTTTTTTTTCATTTATTCCAAGGCACTCAACACTGGACTTCTTCCAAGAGAGGAAACAAGACTAAATAGATCATTTGTTTTATTCTGTTTGGCCATTTCTTGCATTTCTCCCAACTGTGGCTTATGACACAAAGCCAAACTCAGAGCCTGCCTGGAGCTGGCTAAACTCCAGGTCAAAGGAATAAACAATTTGAAGCTCTATTTGAGGATTAAGGTAAACCACACAATTGCAGAACATAATGAAATTCTGCTGTGAATGTGAGGTTGCAGGGAAACAGCCAGGTAGAAGTGTTAAATGATTTGGACTTCTCAAACAAAACTGAGGGTGAGGTAGGAAGGAAATGTCGATTGGAAGTACACATCTATGAGAAATGCATCTCAAAAGGGTCAAATACTGGAGAATACTGGAGGAGGAACCTGCTGCTTGTGGGCACCAACTGAGTTAGGAACACATCTTTGGAGCAGCGCCTCATGGTAGGTGCCAGAGAGCCTGGTCATTTGAGTGTCATGGGAAGTGTACCTTGGTTTGTTACTTCTGTCTCTTCTCGCCAGCATCAGGAAGGGTGGCCCACACCAGCCAGGCACACTCAGTAACAAGTATAGTTGGTATTCCCAGCATAACCCACTGGCAGAATGGGTCTTTGTCTTGAATCGCTTTCCTTTGGGAGACCTCATCATCGCCTCATCGCAGGTCTAGCTAGAGAGAAAGGAACATTAGTGGCTAGGCTTAGTTTAGCATATTAGTTAGCACTGTATCCTGTCCGATTTCAGAATTGACAAGTCATGTACAGTATTGCTCAAAATGTTCCTTCCGCAGTACAGGAGAGAATAGGGAAGTGAATGTCAGTCATTAAAATATAACCCAAAGAGGTAAGTCTGAAAGACTTCTAATGTCTTTTATCAATGAAGAATCTGGGCCCTATTTATACTCTAATTGGGAAAATAAAAAAGTTTTTTTTTTTTTTTCCTGAGAAACATTGGCTCCATCAAAACAAGAGACTGAAATCCTTTTAAAAAGTATTTTGTGCAGTTCTCTCACTGGTTTAACTTTGAGTAACTTTATTAAAATTCAAAGTTACACATAATTAACCAAAGTGTGTGAGATAGGAATCAATGTATCAATGTTAATACCCTGATTGTGATATTATACAATGGTTTTGCAAAGTGTTACCATTGAGGAAGACTTGGCAAAGTGTAAAAGATGCCTCTCTGATCATTTCTTACAACTGCATGCGAGCCTACAATTACCTCTATTACCAATTTCAATTTAGAAATGTGATGGAGAAAGAAGTGGATACAGGGATTCTGTCACACTTTCATAATAATCTGGCTTTGCCCACATTTCCCAGTGGCTTCTCCAGGAGCTTCTTGAATGACTCCCTTCCATCTGGAAGAGGATGCTCCCAGCTTTTCAAACACACTGAGCGAGCTCATTCATACCTTTGGGCTTTCCCCCTTCTTTAAAATTTTCCCAGCTCCAGCCCACCCTCTTTGACTGGACCAAGCACAGTACTGTCACTGGAACAGTTCTTAGCATGTCTGAAAGTCACTTGGCTAGTAGTTCATCCACTGTCAACAAATATTTATTGAGTAACTGTTATATGTGTAGTATGGCTCTAGACACTAGGGATAGAGTAAGTTGGAAACAATATTGAAATTGGTTTCTCTTTCCTGGTCTTTGGCAGTGTATTCCAATGAGAGAGAGTAGAAGAAAACTAGCAAGAAACAAGGTAAAAAAAAAAAAAAATAAAATCAATTTATGACGAGGGCGATGAAGAAAGTCATAGATTAGAGAGGATGAAGCAACTTTATCTCAAGTGGTTAGGGAAGGCTTCCTAGAGGAGAGGACATTTGAGTTGTGACCTAAAGTGTAAGGATACATACAGACATAGAAGGTCCTGGGACAAAAAGCATTTCAGGCACAGAGAACAAGAAAGGATGTATACCCTACCCTGTAATTGAATATAAATATTTGGTATGACTATAAAATAATTAAACAGATGCTCATTTTGTAGACTGTTTGCTCCTTATTTTAGGACCAAGCCTCCTATAGCCTGTGTCCCTCTGCGAGGGACGGAGAACACCGTTAGGCTGAGACAGATTTTACACTTTTAAGAGCAACCCCTCCCCCAACACACGTGCACACCCTAGCACAGCCACCTACATGCCAAGGGGTGACTGCGGGCTCATCTTCCAAGTGGCTCTCACCTGTAGCTGTATCCTTAATTCAGGGCTGTGTTTAGGGAGATTTACATTTCTTCCTCGCTTTGGGGGCCGTCTGCCTGCTAGTGAGGATTCTATACTAATGGCAACATAAATCATGTCATTAAAGTTGGGTCCTTGGGTCCCCATAAACCTAACTAGACGCAAAGGAGGACCAACTAAGAGAGATCCAGGTAACAGAGGCTGGAGCGGGACGGTCATTTGTTGCAGGCCCCTGAGGTCTGCGCCTGTCTGTCGCGCACCGGGTCCCAGCAGCTGCGGTTACCGGCATAGAAGGGCTGGGTTCCCAGGACGCTGCGGGTACCTCGTGCTGTCACCATAGCCAGGAATCCAGTCTTCTGGATCCCCTCTTCTGTATTTGCCTAAGGCGACCTGCCGCCCCTCCTCTGTCCCCTAGGCAGGGGAGAAGTCAGCTCTAGGACACCCTGCGAAACGCCTCGAGCGGTGATCTGCCCCTTCCCGGCGCGTCCTGGCGCCCTTCTCCCCATCACCCGGAGGGGTAAGCGCTGTCTCAGGGCGCCCTCTGCCTTTTCCAGGGGGCAGCCAAGACGACCTGCCTTGCGTCTCCGGGACGCGGTGGGAGCCCTGGTATCCCCCCCTCCACCTCACACACCCCCATCCGGGAGACCCACGTGCGGCTGGGCCCTGGCTGGCGCCGCACCTCCGGGTCGGCGCGTCTCCCCGGCGCGTTCCGGGCGCAGCCCCACGACGGGGACCCCTGGGGGGTCAGCATCCGAGAGGTCGCCGGCGGAGAGGGGGCGTCCCGCAGGCTGGGCGCGGGGACGCTGGGGCCCGCGGCCACACAAAGGAGGCGGTGGAAAGGCGGGGCGAGCGGGCCGGGGGCGGGGGCGGCAGGAAGGGGCGGGGGCCGCGCCGCGCCGCCGATAAAGCCCCCGCCGCGGCGGCAGTCAGCTCGCGCTGTGGGGCTGCCCTGGCTGCGCGGCGTCTGCAGGCGCCACCGCCGCCTCTTTCCTGCCGTGACCCTCCCCGCCGCCGCCACCCCGCTCCGTCCTCCGACTCCCCGCGCCGCCGAGACCAAGCTCCCGCTCCGGCTCCGGCCGCGCCGCCCTCCGCGGCCGCCCCCTAGGGATCGAGCGAGCGCGGTGAGTACGGGCTGCGCGGCGAGTCCCGGGCGCGGCCGGCGCTGCCCTCGGCGGGGGACACTCCCCGGGGCTCCGCACGCCGCCGGCCCCGCGCCGCGACCTTGCGCCTGGCGGGGAAGCTGCGGGGCGGGCGGGACCCGGGGCGCCGACGTCTGGGCGGAGGGAACTTTCTCAGCCTCCCGCGGGCCGCCTCGGCCGGGCTGAGTGCGCGCCGGGCATCGCGGTCCCGCCCGCGGGAAGCCCCAGGCGAGACCCGGGCAGGGCAAGGTGGGGCCGCCCCTGGGTGGCGTCCGGAGGTGCCCGCAGCGGGGAGCCCTGGGGCCAGCGTGGCTCCTGCCCGCCTCTCCAAGCCGGCCCTGACCCTGAACCTGAGGTTTCCAGCTGCTCGCCGGCGTCCCCTCCCGGACATGGGCTGCGCGCCGCCGGGTGGGGAGAGACAGGCGCACTCTTACTTGTTACCTCTGCCTGGGCAAGGGCAGGTGACGCGCGGTGTGGGGAAAGCCTTTAACTTGGCCTCTGGCAGCCGATTTAACCCGAGCGAGCAGGTCTTTGCTATTTGCATCATCTGTAGAAACGGGAGTTGCGAGGCGGATGAGTGACTGCAGGTAAAGTGAAAGTACGGTACTCAGAAATTCTGGGTGGAATTAGGCATTTAACGTGCCCACAAACTGAGCAGGGAAGGAAGGCTTCTATTACATAAGACAGCACTCCACCTTCAGGTATTATGGAAGATGCGATTGAAGGTTTTAGTGTTTTAATGAACGAAACACAGTCTTTGTGTGTGTGTGTGTCTGGAGAAATCTCAAATGCTACTGTCTTGCTTTGACTACTTTGCAGGGGACGTTCTTATATTTAGCATCAACATAAAAAGGTGTTCGAAGGTGTGACTTCCTCTTTCAAGCCAAGAAGCCGTTTACTTGTCTGAACTGTTCTGGAACAATTTGAGTGGTAATTGTGTACTTTGAAGATTTTATATCAAAACTTGTGCACAGATAACTAGAAGAAATGTCAACATTGCTAATTTGTATATCCTAAACCACAGTTCAAAAATTGAAGGCACTTTCAACACTATCCGAAGGTCTAAATCAGTAGTTATTTGCTATTTGCAGTATCTCTATGGAAAAAATTTTGACTATGCAAACGAAAGTACTACCCTAAGTAATCTAAGGTTTCTTTTAACGCCCAAGTTTTGATTCTTTGTTAAAGTTTGAAAATATTGTGCCATGCAGGGCAGTTACCGAAGGCCATGAAATGTCATGTGTTATTCCAAAAACAAAAGTGAATCTGCAGAAAATTTCTGCCCCCCATGAACTTCATATTAGTTGAATTTTAAAAGTACTGTCTTCAAAAGAAATTAATTTTCACTTCCACACAAGGATGATTAAATACTAGCCAGAGATTTAGGTGGTAGAGTTGGAAATGAGGTGGTGACCTGGCTACGTCCCTGCCTACATCTCCGCCTTGCTGTCCTCTTCCAGCCAGTTCTTTTCTCACCGCATGGGGACTTTGGCTCATATGCCATTTCTCCTTCTCTGGTACTAAAGTGAGCATGGAGCGGATGCTCTAGATGTTCACTTCCTTGACTGTCTCAGATCCAGTGTCCTCCATGGACTCCAGCTACTAAGTCCTCTAAGTACCTCCAAATCTTGCCCTCTCTGAGATGCCCAGCTTCTGAGAACTCTTAGTGTCTCTGTCCCACAAACCCCTTCCTTCTGGTTTGCAAACCAGACTCCCACTGTAATCTTCAACACAAGAGATCTCCAGCCCCTTTCCTACTGTGGGTTGGACAGGTGACTTTGTGGCCCATTCTACCAAGAAAATAGAGGCCATAAGGGTCTCCTGGCGTCCTCCCCCATCTTCCCTGTACAGACTTTTCTGTGTTTACTCAGTCATCCAATAAATCTTCTTAAGCATCTGCTGTGTCTCAGTACTTTCCTGGGTACTCATAGATGGTAAATAGAGCAAATCCTTGCTCTCTTGAAACTGTCATTCTTCAAATC